AAACTCAGGATAATAAACAAAGTGATCCGGGGCTCGATCATCCTTCTTCCCTACCCATGCAAATACCTGGAACGCGAACGTTCTCCTTCAATTGTGAATGCTTTGAAGCTTGCACGTGGCTCCTCTTTAGTATGACGAATGTGTCATCGACCTATCGGGCCCAGAACCGCGGGGGGTCCGAGCTGAAGCCTAGCTGTTCAAACTTCCGCAGAACTGCTTCGAAAATGCGTCCAGACAGAGAGGGGCCCATTGGTATCCCATACTTCTGCTCGTACACCTGCCCGTTGAAGGTGAAAACGGCCCTAGGAACAATTCAAGCAGCTCGATGATTTGCGCCCGTTTGAGTTGCTTTTCGGTTTCGTCATACGTTTCACGAAGAAGGCCGTCGATAGTGTTGGTAGCCATTGTGGGTGGGATGGAGGTAAATGATGAGATCAGGTCGAATGACACCATTATTCTGTATCCCTCTACCTCAAGATGCTGAATGCGTGTCAAGAACTCTTCAGTTGACTTCACGGTCAACGGCGAATCCTTGATGAGGAAAGAAAGTCGCTGGTACAGCCCCCTTGACAGCCCAAAATTTGGGTTGCCACGTAATGAGACGATGGGGTGTAGGGGCACTCCTGGCTTGTTGGCTTTTGACCGGCCGTGGAAGAGCGGCATCGCGGCATCAGTGGCCTTTGTGGCCAGTGCTTCTCTTCTCGTGAGGGCTTTCGCTTTTCTAATCTCTTCGACCATCTTGTCTATATTGTTTACGAGTTTTCTGAACCCGTTGGCAGTGGATGACGCATAGGAGTCCTTTTCTATTTAGACGTTGTCCACCTTTGCCCCGTGCTCAGCCTTATCCATGACGACTGTAGATCGTCCTTTATCGGCGGGCAACATGACGAAATGCTAGCTTATCTTCAGCAGAAACGCCAAGCGATGATTACCAAAGCAGAAGAATAAGAACTTTTGAGGTTAACTTTATAATGGACTTCAATTGCATCCACAGTTAGGGCAATGCCATGAGTTTGAAATCGTTCAACTTGCAATGGAATCGTTGCATTCCTGTAATGTTCGCAGTTAAGTTCTGTGCTTGTCCTTGACCTGTCAATACTCAGACCAAATTTGACATTTCTACTTCAGATAATTAGCAAACGTTGTTTCCCTGGTAGTCATTTAATTTCAAATTCATATAAATGGGTTGCTAAAAAGGATATTCATCAAAATCCCTTTTAGCCTAGTGCGATGGGTTTGTGCTTGTCACGCCTATCTTCGACGACCTTCAGGTTCGTGGCCTCCGTTCTAGTATTTCTTGGTTTGCCCTCTATGGCTGCTGGGTTCGTTCTGGTTCTCGTTCTAAAAAGCGGCTCGTAAGTCTTTTTCTTAAACTTTCAGATATATAAATGGAAACCGTCTGCGTAATTATTGCTCAAACACAACTTAAGTATGGTAGGTACCTCATATAAGAAACCGAAATTTGCGAAGGATTGTAGTCACCCGCAAAGCATCATAAAGCGGGATTGTCATACCGATTATCGTGAAGCTTAATCTCAGAAGAGTGCAGTCATGGCGGGATGCTGGCTCTTTAATTAACTTGTTCCTGACAACTTACAAAAAGTGTATTTTTTAAATAATGGCTACTAAGTAGTATGCATCTAACTCATCCATTTTCACTGTACTGACAATATCAAATATGTATTGTGAAAGACATGCACGAAATTATTATTTGTGGTACTCCTCTGTTAGCCAATTTAGCCTTCCGTAATTGTTATACTTAAAGAAAAACAATTTTTTTAATTTTAAAGAAGTTCCGAAATTTTCGTATATTTGTTGGAACCTATGCAGGGTTACATCTGAATTTAAGGATCCCAAAGTGCGTGCTCTACATACCCTGTCTAAAAGAGTAAGCCCTTCTACATAAAAAATTGAAATATCATAACAATAGCGAAAACTCGATTCCCAGGTGGAAAGTCAGAAGGAGAAAGTGCGTTCACCGGGAGAGGTTTATTTGTGATCTGAGGTTTCGGATAGTTATCTCGTTTATTCATCTTCGGAGACTGAATACGCTGACTCCCGACTCTCGTGACCATCCATTGGTATGAATGTTCTTAACAAAACATAGAGGACTGGCAAATTTATGTGGCGTTTAACCGAACGGTCAGTCGACATCCAAGTTTCTTTAATCTGCCTTGACGTGTGATGGTCAACTCGGCCCACAATTTCGACGGAGTCAAAGCTGAAGAGGAGCCCCATCTCTGCAGTATGGGTGGCTACCTCCGACTTTAGGTCAATCCTTCTTACTGCCAGCTGATGCTCAGGCATTAGCGTTTGAAGCCGCCGGCCGGTTCTCCAACGTAATTGCACCTCCCGCAACTGCACTGAAGTCGGTTGACTACGCCTGCTTTTTCTTGCTTCGGTATAGTGTCTTTTGGCCGTATTACCTATTGCCGGATTGTGGCGGCAGTC